TGGGGGTGGGGTGGAGATCTGGGGCCCGCTGGTGGGGTGGGGTGAGGTGAGGAAGGTCACGGAAGCCCGGAGAGACTCTAATAAATTGTTGGACTGAGTGGCCATAAGCGCCAGGGGAGGCATCCCCTCAGGAAGAAGGATGGCAGCTTCTGGATGAGCCCTTTCCTTTCTTTCTCTGTGTACCTGTAGTTCTCTACTGTACCTCTTTATACTTGTCAAGAAAGAGGGAAATTTGATCCTCTTCTACACTGCTGCCTTCCTGAATTTGCATCTTGCAGTCAAGTTTTTTAGTGTTTCTCCAGCCCGTAGGTAACGCTCGCGAGTCGAGAGTTGATCACACATATGTTCTTTCTATCATCTGGTTTAGATACACACAGATCGCACTTATTCATAGTCTGATTATCCAGCTTGTCACAGTTTCCAGTTTTCCTTCTGGGACCAGCCTTTTTCTTAGTTTCATTGCTTCTTAAATGCTCCTTCAAAAAGGAGTTGAGGATGGAGTGAAGAAGTTGTTTTCTTGATAACAGTTCTTTTAAGAGTTTGGTTTTTGATAGAGAAAGGAGGTTCTGTAGTTAGTATGAGGTTTTGGTAATGTTTGTACCATACATGGTACAACCTTGAGAGGACACTGTATTCTCTGTATTCTTTCTTGTAGTGAGTAAGTAACATTAGGGTGTCTTCCACTAATGCAGCAACCAACCATTCCAGGTGTTGAAAAGGAAAGCTAGGTCTTAGTTTTCTTTTTGCCCCTGTTAGTTTAATGGAAAATGCACCAGAAAAATCTTTTCCTTGTCATGAAATTTCTTGTGAACTTGAGTCAGCATATGGAAAACAGGTTAATTAATGAGACTACTGACTTTTACATATTGCTATTTTCAAGATATAAGCTTTGATGTCTTTAGAAAAGTTTTATGACTTGAAATCAGGTAAATAGTATTGAAATGATATAAGTAAATAATCAAGTAACCATGAATGTTAATTATCAAAAATCCGTACAAAGTTTGGTTCTCCCTTAGGGTTCTGAATTCAGGGTCTAGAGATCTGGCCTGTCTTTAAAAGAAAAATAGATTAGGAAAACCATGTATAGTAATATGAAAGTGATGGCAATCCTGCCTTCTGGTTTCCAACTTTGAACTGTAAGAGGGTATTTAGTTTAGAGAATAAATTCCATTCTCAAGTCATGAAATGCAAAAAAAGTACACTATCCAGAATTCTACCAACTTGAAGGAATAGGCAATAAAAAGAGCACTTTTAGTAATATATACTGACAAGGTTTGGTATGTGTGCAGCCCTCCAATGAGAGACAGGCTGTATTTACCTATGTCTAATAATTGCTTCCATGTGATACTTAGATTAGTTTAAAATAGAGAGATCTGGGTCTCTGACATGTTCTATGGAAGTTTTCCTTCCGTCCCTGTTGGAAATATCATTTACAAAGGGATTAGAACATAATTTAAGATACCACCATATCAACAATAATGGGAACAGTAAAAGAAATATTAATAGTAAAGAAAGATGTCCAATTATAAAACTAGGACAGAAGAAATGCTTACTGTGATTAGTGGTTTTTTCTTTCGATTCTCAATCTGTTAAATTTTAGTATTATGTTTATCTTTTAATTCCTGTTAAAAAGAACTAACTGGTGGTGATATGATTGAAATGTATTGCAAACTTTAGCCACTAAAGAGTCTATTCCCATTGCTCTTTGTGTTTACATACAGCTTAGTGCTAGGATATTTAAATGCTTCACATATGAATGGAATTGCAAACTTTTGGAGGGAGAATTTGGAAGGCCTAGGCCTGTCCCAAAATGAGTTCGCTTCTCTGCATGAGAGCATGCTTTTTTCCTGTAGCTTTCTAATCCACAGTGCAGATTCCCCCTTGAATAATTCCTTAACATTTCAGTCTTATAAGACTGAGTTTCTGGCAGGAGAGAACTGTAATGTACTTGATTAGATACTTATTAGTTATCAAATGGAATCTTAGGCTTAGTAGGGCATAGATTTAGAAGAGACTGGATGCTCAGGTCATGTAGATGAAGAAACTGAGACTCTCCGGTCTTGATTTCTTGGCTTCTTCCCTTCTCTGTTATTCAAATTTATTCACAATCCACTCCCAAAAAGGTTTAATGACTTGTCCACCATGATCACACTGGCAGTAAATAATCATCCTGCTTTTAAGCCCCTGGAAAGAATATCATGTATTACTTATTCATATTTTGGCAGTGCCACAATTATGTTTTTAGTTGATCCAGGACCCTTTGATGTTTAGTGTAATTAAGTGTAGGATTCTGTTTTCTTAATGAGCCTTACAGATCAAAGTTCGGTGTGCCTCATTGCTTAGCTAGGTAGTCTGAATAGGTCTTACAAGGAAACTAATCAAACTTATCTTTCTGGAGTTGTTACATGTTAAGAGTGATTTTCACTATTTTTACCTTACACATGCCTTCTTATTTTGTTGTACTTTTTACATTCTGCAGTCATTCACAGGAAAACTGGCTTATCTCAGTTTTTAATATTCCAGCTGTGCCTTCTCACACTCTGAATTTCATTTTACTGTAATATTAAAGTAAAGTAAGTATTCATTGCTTAGTTAATAGTAGTTGATTTTCTTAAGGTTCATTAGTTTATTTTGCCTTAGGGTATTTCATTTTAAAATTGTGCATCAAAAGTACTATAAAAATGAGTATGGCAGAGTTACTTACATATAGAAATAATTTAATTTATGCACAGATAACAAAAAGTCTCATTTAGAAGTTGCTTTACTTTGAATCACAGTAAGATAGGGCACAACTTTATCCTTTCTGCTTGGCCCTGAATGCTTCCTAACTGGTTTGACGTGCTTGTTGACTACTTAGGTGGTGGCTAAGTAGAAAGAATGTAGAAAGCTCCAATTTATTGTGCATGGTCAGTCATCATTTTTGTGTAATCTATGGAGTTGAGCCCATAATTGTATCTTTATTTGATCTATTCTCTATGTTGGTGGTTTGACTCTCATAGATGCTCTAGTAGTGTGCTGTTGACTGTTTTAAGCTACTTTACCCTTGTGAATAAAAAAGGAAAATCTCATAAGTATTAAATACCTAATTCGAAGCACTGTGCTATGCACTAGGGATGCAAAGAAAAAAACTCATACCTGTTTTTAAAGAACTTACATAATATTTGTGGGAAACAATATGTACACACACAACTAAATAAAAAGTAAATAAAAAAGCAAAGTAATTTATGGAGGGGTGCTCACAACTGGAAGGATTAGAAAAGACCTCATATTGGAGGTATCAGTTGAGTTTAGCTTATAAGGTGGGGACTCTTAAGAGACTGAGGGAAGGAAGAATGCATTCTTAGAATGGTGGATAGCCTCTGCAAAAAGCGGAGACAAAAAAAGGAATGTATAAAGAACCAGCTTACGGGCCAGTTTGGCTGGAACTTAGGGTTTTTGAAGGGGAGTATTGTATAATAAACCTGAAAAGGTAAGGCCATGTCAGATATTTGAGAGATTTAAATACTGAAAAGAGGATTGTGTATAACTCAAGGAATATGGAGTCACTGAAACTTTTTTTGAACAGAGAACTTTTTGGTCCTTTAGGAATATTACATTAGTAACTGTGTGTATAATGACTTGGAGAAGGGAGAACCTTAAGGAGCAGCAGTTAGGAGGCTATCTCAATAGGCCAGATGAAAATTACTGAGGGTCTAAATTAGGATGGTAGACTGGAGAGAAGGGGACAGATGAGTGAATGTTGTTGCAGTAGAAGACAGGACTTTATAACTTATGGGATGTGAAGGAGAGTGAAAAGTCGAGGGTGACTCTGAGGTCGTAAACCTGAGTTACTGGAAGAATGGTAGTGTCCTTAACAGAAATAGGTCAAGAAGGATGAAGAACTGATAAAAGGTTTGACATAGAAGGATACTTGAGGAGACATTTGTGGGACTTGGATCTGTTTCAGTTGCCTATACCAAATTTTGCAAACAATACCTTTATTCGCTTCTCAAGGTGTATTTGATTCACTGAAGAGTAGATTCCTATCTGTGGGAATAATGTCTTTGTCATCCTTATTCAGTTCCCCTTCCATTTTCCCTTACTCTTTTCATTCACATCACCATCCTCTTAAGTTTTTGCTATGCTGAATCCATTGTTTACTTTGGCTGTTTTTATGGCACACCTGACTAGCCCAACCTCATGTACATTATACCTAAATGACTCTCCTGCTGCCTTTCCTTCTCAGCTATTAAAATTTGGAGAAGTAAAATCCACACTTTGGAAAACAATATTAATCCAATTAATAGGCCTAAGCATTTTGGATAATTAGGGGAAGTTTTTGATTCAGGTCCAGTTTTCAGTGTCGCCTATTTCAATGAGATCTTTTTTAGGAAGTAGGAGAAAGTTGCTTTGAGGGAATGACCAAGTCTGTTTTTTTGAAAGAGCTACTGGCCAGAACAGGACTGAAGATCTCAGTTTCAATTAGTATGGTGAGAAGGT